TACTTTCTCATCAATAGCTTCCTTTTACCCTAGAAGATAAGTGACAGAGCATCTTGAGTATGTCAATTCTCTAAATTAATTGCAAAGTTTTGTGTGATGGCATATATGCATATGCAGTGTGGACAAATACCATAATTTGTCAGGTTCTCCAAACACTCAAGGGCCAAAGAACCTGACGGTGAGGCTTGTGGTGGCAGGAAGAAGAATCCACTGAAACTAGGTAGTGTAATTCTTCACTCTACACAGAGCAGCCAGTTCTAGGACATCCAAGTGTTTCCTTTCTTTGTGTATCCGTTCATTCTGGTTTTGGGAACCTGAACAGAAAGCACAGGTAGCTTTCTTCATGCCTAACATATTTCCTTCACCTTGGAGTTCTGTTACTTATTTTGTTAGCTATCTAAGCATTTTCCTCTTTTCTCAAAGGCAAGCGGTCTTCTAGCAGCAGCTGAACTCTTTTTGTTCTGTTTTGCACTTTTGTTTTGAGCCCAGTCCAGCAATTTGTTACTTTGTTTTTCAGCGACCTCCTACCATTTTGAGGCTTCCTCCCCTCCTACCTTGACCTCGAACTCCAAATTTATGTCTCCGTTTCATTGTGGGGAACCTCTTGGTGAAAAGGGTAAAGCTGATTTGGAGCTGCATCTGGGGGATTTTCATAGCGACACTGACTCTTTATTATTAGCTGTGCACTCCAGGCTGCTGGAGTTCGTATTTTGGCAGTGGACCATCAAACACCCTATTTTTAAGAGCCTTTAACTTAGTTGTAAACATGTGCTGGGACGGGGGCTCACTTTCTTTACTCATATTTACCAAGAGCAGTTTAACTGTTGAAAAGTTGTTATTAAAAAAAAAAAAAAAGCTCAGACTTCAGGACTATTTTTCCACTCATCTAACTCAAAACTATGCATGATCTAAAAAAAGAAAATTTGGCATTTAGTTGCTTAATTTGATGGTCCAGTCATACTGGTAATTGAGGGGGAGAAGAAATGGAACTGCTAGGTCATTTTACTTTGACAGATGCCCATCAAACACACATGGAGGGAACGATGGCTTCTACACATATTTACATGATCAACCAGAACAGCTCAAAGAGAAGCAGTCCAGTATGCTGAGGAAATAGTTTATGCCCTAAAAGTCTTCTATATTTAGAATAAAAGTGTTCTATAGACACATCTCCTGGGCACTCTACATTCTGGAGACTTTACTAGTTCCATTAGGAGAACATAAATAATATCCCAAACTCTCACTGACTTGTGAATACAGAGATATATTCAGAAATTTGATGAAGGGAAGCCTATCACAAATATGTCTATTTCTTTTATCTCCGGGAGGAATTTAGGCAAGTGCCACAAAATACATATTAACCTTTTGAGGAGATGGTGACCTACAGGAGTTTCAAGAATTTAAATGTCCAAAAGGAGGGGTTGAACTTTGACATCTTCCTCTTGTGATTTAAGATTCTAAAAGTTCCACTGTTCAGTCAGCGGAACAGAGCTGCTTTGGGGCTGTGGTGATCCTCTAAGTAGTACCTTTCGTAATGACTCCCTTCTCTCAGTCTCCTGGTATGTCATCAGACCTTTGATTGTACCTCATTGTTAGTTTTGTAGTGGGGCATTAATTGACCGGTGACATTTGCCAATCAGGTATGACAAGGAGTTAATTCCATTTTATTTCATTTCCCCCCTTGTTGAACTGCAGGCATTCCATAGATGTATCCTAACCTACAACAGTCATTTGATGGAAAAGCATCATGCCGTGAAATCATCTTGCCTAGTTTGCATGTCTCTTATCTCCCTAGGCCATTCCGAAAGCTCCCTGTGGCTTCTGTGGGATGAGCTGGTAATTTTTCCTGATGAATGTTCCTTTTGAGTGAGGTACCACTCTAGGCACTTGGCCGTATTCCGAAAAATCTCAACTGGTTCTGTCTCAGGGTTGGCCTTCTATGTATGAGTTGTTATATGCTCATTGACTTCGTGGTGCTTTTTCAATCCGAAACATACCTAATTATTTTGTTTTATGGGTTATATTTCCTCCACTATTGAATGTAAGTTCCTAAAAATTTAAAATAGAATCAAAATTAATTTCATGTCAGCGGGAAGATTTTTTTTTTTTTTCTAAAAAAATTGTAAGAATATTTCTTCCCTCCCTTGGGGGAGGTGGATACTGTTCCCTACCCTGGACCTTTTTCAGAATAAACAGAACTATAATTCTGCATCTGTGCCCTCCTGTAGTGACATGTGTGTGTAACTGTTCAGTGAGTAGCAAAGAAAAGGGGCCATAGTGCATCAGAAGAAAGAACATGTATTTATGTTTTCAGAACTTTCAGGAGGGAGAAGAATTTGCAGACTTGAGCTCTTAGAATTTCCTATAAAAATTCTTATTACGATTTTTGTTCAAAAGTTAGATGGTAATTGTATTATCTGTTGATGCATAACAAATTACCCCAAAACATAGCACTGAAAACAGTAAATTTTTCTTATCTCACAGTTTTTAAGGGTGGGGAATTCAGAAAGGTCTCTCAGGAGATTGCACTCAAAATCAGTGGCTGGGGCTGCGGTCACTTCAAGACTTGAGTAGGGATGGAGGATCTGCTTCTGAGCTGATTTGACATGGTTGTTGGCAGCAGTCGGTTGGCTATTGGCCAGAGGCTTAGTTCCTTGCCACCTTGGCCTTTCCTTAGGCTGCCTATGTATTCTCAAGTCACAGCAGCTGGATTCCTCCAGAGACAGTGATCCAAGAGAGTGAGAACCAATACATAAGCCACAGTCTTTCACAACCCAGTCTCAGAAACAACAATCCTTTGCTTCTGCCATACTCTGTTGACTTCATAGGCCAATCCTGACACACTGTGGGAGGGGTATGAACACCAGGGAGTAGGTATCATTGGGGACCATCTTGGAGGCTATTGAACATATTAATGTATAAACACTGGCCAGTAGCCCAGGTAACTATGTCCCCTACTATGATTTTGAGGAAGGTTATACCACTGACTATTCTAAAATTAGGCCAACCATTCATTTCACATGTATTTATTGTCAGCTACATACCAGGCACTGTTCCAGGCACTTAATACATCGGGGAGTAAAACAAAGATCCTCACCCTCCTGAGTCTTATATTCTGTTTTATAGTTTGCTTTTCATGTAACAAATGCCTCGGTCAGGGGGCCCACGTGATCAGGGTAAGTACGTGGACCTCAAACCATTGTTTCACGTTGGCTTGCATTTGACCAACTTCAGCAGGAAACCGGGAGGGCTATTTTCCTTATCTGCAAGAATAAGGGGAGGCTTTTTGAAAGACGTAGTAGTAACAATACAATCTCTCCAGTGATTACATTCTTCTGTTAACTGTCTTAAATGATTACTTCTCTGTCTTTGATAGCTAAGTGAGGAAGTAAAGTCCATTACATAAGAATTAAGGGAAGTAAAGTCCATTACTTAAGAATTAAGGTTTGGGAGTCAGACCCTCCTGGATTTGAGTCAGAACTCTCCTGCTTTCTCACTGTGTTACCTGGGGCATGTTGTGTGAATCCGCTGAGGCTCCATACAACGGTGCTAACAGTAGCAGCTACCTTGAAGTCGTAAGCAATAAATGACCGAAAGCACTTATACCATAGGATTTGCTACATAGATACCACTCAGTTTTACCTGCCTTTTCTTCATTTCTGACTGCATCTGACTGGCCCTTACCAGAGGTGCTACCAGAAATGACCCCTCGTTCAACCCAAACTAAACCATCCAAGACAGATATGTAAAAGTGCTTTCAATATCTACCTGATGGTTTCCTACTGATGCTGTTTCTGTTGCAGTATTTTGCTAAGTCCTCTGTCAGACAGGGGTCTGGAGAGGAAAGACACATGCGCTCTGGGGTTTCTGCCTTCATCGGTCAATCCCAGGCACCTGAGCCAGAAAGGCCCCTGATTTTCCTCAGCCCAGCACTGAGAAGGAAGCTGCTTCCTGCCAAGGGGGTGCCTGCCTTCCCGAGGCTGGGAAGCCTGTGACCCCCCTCTCGGCTCCTCTCTCATCTTCCTTCCTGGAGTGGTACCATTAGAGAAATTGGTGGTGACAAGGTAGGGACGCTCATACCACCAGCCCCAGAAAGAATATACAAACTGAGCTAGGGGTATGTTTTGGTGGGGGGTGGTGCAGTATATTTTTAGAGATACCTGGTTGTTTGGAGCTCTGTGCATTTTATTTATATTATATATATATATTATATTATATATATATATATATATATATATATACATATACACACACATATAAAAACATGATATGTTTATGTATATATATCTCCTCCTAATTTCCCTTTGCCTCCATTGGGCAGGAAGTGTGTGCGTGGCTGACATATAATCCCTCGACTCATTGGAAGAAATGAACAAATGTGACCAGTTTCCAGGGAGTCATGGGCTCTGAATTAGTTAAGAGGAAAAGCATTCTAAGGACACAAGGGTAGAGAAGGCTAGGAGGAAGGAACGGGTGCTTTGAAGACTAGCAATCCTGAGTTTGAATCCTGGCCGTAACATTGTTGGCTCTGTGACCTCGATGGATCGTATTTTTTTAAACCAATCTAGGCCCGTTCATAGAGAGGATGGAATAATATACCAGCCCGTGAGAAGCACATAGCACTTAGAACAATAAAAAAAAAAAAAACAAAAAAAGAAGGTCCTAGGAAACATTTCTTTTCCTCTCTGAACTCTTTAACAATTTTCTACCTTAATCAAGTTAACACATCACATTGTTTTTATTAAGAGAAGATATTTGCAACTTCTGGGGCTTTCGTTCTCAAACATTACTGTATATAGTAGTCACTGGGGGAGTGTGCTAAATTGCTGGGCTCCCCTGGCAGAAATTCAGGAGCTCTGGAGTTTGGGGATTTCTGTAGAAGATCCTCAGGCCACATTTGGAGACACAGACTTGGGGGTAACTCCAAGTCTTGGAAAGTTTTGAAATCATCTTGGCTTAAACATTTTAGACATTTGTGGAGGTCAGGTGTGAAACACAACTTCTGAGCTTTGAAGATCCTGAACCGTAGATGTTTCAGAACTATCCATGTACTCCCACGTGCCTTCTGGGTGCTTTAGAAGGCGCAAAAGCAGAGATTTGCCAGGATGCACCTTCCATTCTGTGGTAAATCTGCCGACTTCATGTGTGACCTGGATGGAATAGTTTGCTCCTTTCCACAGGCACCATATCAGAACGCAAGCAGGAACAGGACACCCAGGAATATGTGTGGAATGCAGGCCTGAGGCTGAAGGACAATTAGAACCAGAGGGCTTGGGAAGATAATGAATGCCAAGACACTGAGGGCTTACCTCGGAAATGGTGGTGACTGCCCACCAGGGTGCAGGGGGCTTGGAGCCCCAGCAGCAGACGAGTTGTCTAACTGACCGTCTGTGTCTGTTGGATTCATTTTTAATTCCATCTCAAGACATAGCTCGAATCCCCTGTCTGATCACTACCTTGGCCCAGGTCAGTACCCCCTTGCCCCTCAACTGACGCAACAGCCGCCTACCCTGGCTCCCGTTTAGTACATACCAAGTAAAACAGCAAATGTTGCCTTCTTACTATATAAAGTTGTTCACATCATACCGCTGCTTAAAACTGAAGTGGCCTCCTGTTGTGTTTAGAATCCGAACTCATTCGTCTGTAAGTCCTTCATTCACACACTGTGTCCTGTTCCGCTTTCAAGCCACTGTGCCCTCGCCTACTGTACTCCAGCCCTGTGTGGAGCACCCAATTCCCTGGATGAATCAAGGTCTTTCCTCCTGAAGCCCTTTCCTCGTGTTACTTCTCTAACTCATCACCTGGCTGGGTCCTGCTGAATTTTTACATCTCAGCTTAAATGACAGCCTGACTAACCGCCTCTTCTCAAGAGGTTTCTCTTATTGTTTTCTTTATACTTATTACAATTTGCCCTGCCTTTATTTATTTACCTATTTTTTGCCCATCTTGGTCCCTCCTCCTCTTTAGAACAGAAATCCATTTTGCTCTCTTCCTCACCAGAGTACCCGCGGTACCCACCCGAGCGTTTGCGCCTACCGGTTGCTCAGTGGTTGAGTGAACAAGTGCCGTGACTTCCTGTGTTCCACAGGATAGGGTATGAAGAATGAGTGTCAGGAATATCTGCTTGTTTTCCAAACAAATTTATCCTTCTAGAATATGACATGGAAGGAAATTGCAGGAGTGTGCAACTAGAGACTCACTCACCCAAACTGAAATTCAAGGAACCAGAGATCCTTTCATTCTGTTTTCCAGGTCTTTCTCTTGCCCAGGTGAGAGCCAGGCTGGGTCCATGTGCTAGAACACTGGTACCTCACAGTTTACTGGTGCTTTCAGCTGCCTTCAGGGCTAACATATATAACTGATGATCTGACTATGGGGAGGAAAGGAATTCTGGAGCTGGGTTGTATGAAACTGAAGTTTGCATCAACAGGACCATAGATTTTCTCACAGCCAGCCCCGTAGTGCATGCTGACACTTAAGACAAGATGCACAGCCCAGGTCAGGGTGACAGGGAGGCTTTACGCCAGATGTCCTTAGGAACATGCCACATTGCTCTCTTCTCTCTTGGGCCTCCTGGGTACCAGGAAGGAAGAGAGTGAGTCATTCGGACCTGTCAGAGTAGGTGAGTGAATGTCTACATGAAGATAAACCAAAAACATTAAAACTTTTTTTTTTTTTTTTTTAAAGATTTTATTTATTTGTGTGAGAGAGAGACAGCATGAGCAGGGTGAGGGGGGCGGTGTAGGGAGAGGGAGAAGCAGGCTCCCTGCTGAGCAGGAGTCCGACATGGAGCTCAATTCCAGGACCCCGGGATCATGACCTGAGCCAAAGCCAGATGCTTAACCAACTGAGCCACCCGGGGGCTCTAAAACTTTTTGATTTCAAAGGAACAAAATCTTAAAAGGGTACATGAAAGAACTAGAAGCATGGAAGCCATTCACAAGATCCTAGGTACAAGGCCTGGTTTAAATTTGAAGTTTGATTTGACCATGACAAATAAAAGGTAGTTCTACTTTATACAGTAAATAGTAAGCTTGTGGGAAATCTAATCCCAAGAGGTAGTAGGCTGAATAGAAATATAAGTGTGAATTAAATTAGATGAGACATGAATATATCCATATAAGCATATATGTATATTAGGTGAAATATATAAATACATAAATACATAAATAATCATAATGGGTTACTTAGGGAGTGTTTGGCGATATCATTTCCAATCTTTACAGTTTGTAACAAGGACCACCACGTTTTTCCAAGAACATCCCTTGGTGCCATTTCACCTCTTATCCTTTCAATAAATGTTTATTCAGCACCTTCTATACATATGGCACCAGGCCATGACCAGGGTCGGATGTTGCCAGTTTTCCCTGGGGTTGCCAAACCTGTCTGGTTGAGAATGTCCTTTATAATATACCTGGTAGGACTGAGGAAGGTGGTCCAGGTTGTCGAAAATAGGTTAGGGACCCCATACCGTATATTTTGGAAGCTTTCTAGTGCCTCCTATGTACTCTGATAGAACTTCTAGAATTGGCACCTGTTGTTTTAAGTAGGACACATGTTTGGTCCTTTCAATTATGAATAAGAACCCAGTTTCTCCCTGGTTGCTGTGACACCTGCTTCCAGCTCAGATTGCTGACTTGGTTTGTCTTCTGGCCTCTAGTCTGGACGTCGGGGGACTGGGATGGAACCATGCCTGCCCCGGCCACTCCTCTGGCAACTTCCCCTTGTGGACCATACTGTGCCAAATATTTATTCTGGGTACAAAATGAGTCTCCGTTATCTTCTCGACAGAATAATGAAAAGTTGACACGGGGCAAGAATTTGGGAGGCATCTTGGAAAAGGGAGAAAAAGGTTGAAATCATCTGCCCCGCTGCCCTGTTTCCCTCTGTTTTAGGTTATCTTAGCAGGAGGTGAAACAAAGAGAAGGCGGTGACAGTGCCACTGTGCGGAATGCTCAGTATGCCTCTTAGATACGGCTCTGGTCACCAACCCACGGGAAGGATGCTGTCATTGTCTGGGAGTGGGTGAGGCCTCAGGAAAAAATCTGTGGTATGAGGAAATGTTAAACAAACTGGTCTTGCTTTTATTAGGAAAGAGGGGGCATAGCAAGATGACATAAAAATGATTCCAAACTACCACTCAGAGTTAAAGGTGTTGTCTTTGAAATGATCCAGAAAGACTCCGTGTTGGGGCCTAGCAGGTCACACGCTGTAGCCAGCAGCTCTGTGGCTGGGCGGGGTACGAGGTCACCTTTGACTCCGTGCCCTTCTGTGGCATTCATTTTCATCTTTAAAGCTTGTCAGCTAGGGCAAAGCTGAGCAAGATCTCCTCTGCACAACTGGTCCCAGAAGACCTTAGAAAATGTCCTTTCTTCATAAAGTTCTGCTTCAGTTTGCCTCAAGTTTTTTCCTTTGCTTTTGGTATCTCACACCTGCCCCCAAAGACCCCACTGTGGGAAGAAACCAAGCAAATTTAAAAAAAAAGAAAAACTGGGTGAATTGCCGTGTGCTCCTAATCAGAGGACTTCAGAGCATGTTTTCAGGGTATACAGATCACCTGATTCAGGCAGCAGAATCACCTGGAGTGTTTCATGAAATGCAGGTCCAAGGGTCCTATCTCAGATCTTGAAAATCGACATTTCTGGCATAGGGCCCAAATACCTGCCTTTTCCATAACGTATGAGGGCCTGCATGAGGCTAGGTATTTTACTGTCTTTTATTCATGAATGTATCCCAAACATCTAAATCACTTCCTAAAAACACCTGAGACAGGATGGAGCTCTGTAAATGTTTATTGAATGAATGAACGCACCAAAGCCTAATAGGATCTGTTAGGGTTGCTTTTCAATTAAACAGTAGCAGAAACCATCGTCAGGAGAGAGGAGTCTTTATTGGGAGGAAGACAGACTTGAAAAGAGGAAGGAGAGAAGTCAGTTTGAAGAATGGGGCAATTTCTGAGAGGTGGGGCAATGAAACAGAGACTTCATGCCACAGAGCATGGGGCGGCACTTGACAGATGAGGAAAGAAGGTTGAAAAAAAGGGAAATGCAATGAGGCAGTGGTTAGAGCAATGGTTCTTAAACTTTAGTGAGCCCCCCAAATCCCCTGGGAGGCTTGCTAGCCCACTGAGCGCTGTACCCCTCCATCCTGAGTCTGTGATTCAGCACATCTGGGTGGGGCCTGAGGATTTGCATTTGTGACAAGCTTCCCAGGGGACACTGATGCTGCAGGAAATCTGCCTTGTGAACCACTTAGATTGTTACTTTCAGAAGTCCGATGGGCTGGGGTATTAATCCTAGCTCTGCAGAGTCTTGTGAGCTGTGGGACCATGACGGTTTATCTAGCCTCTGGATCTCAGTTTCCCTCACATGTAAAATAGGGATAATAACGACGATTAGGTGTTGCAACGCCTACTGAGTTGATTCATGTAAAATATTCAGCAAAGTGCTAACACATCCAAGCACTTACTGTCCTAAAAATTATGACTTAGGGGGAGCCTAGGTGGCGCAGTCAGTAAGCTCCCAACTCTTGGTTTTGGCTCAGGTTGTGATCTCAGAATCGTGAGATCGAGCCCCGCGTCGGGCTCCCCACTCAGCGTGGAATCTGCTTGAGATTCTCTCTCCTCCTCTGTCTGCCTCTCCTGCTAGTGCTCGCTCTCTCTCTCTTTCTCTAAAACAAATAAATCTTTAAAAAAAAATTACTTTGTCCATTGTGACCTCTGTAACTCTTAGGGGGAAATGAAGCATATAGTTGCTCTTCCAATGAAAGAAGAGATAGGGCTTTGTAGAACCAGCATAATATTTAATGAGGATGGACTAGTTCAGATTCCAGTGCTATTTATTTCTGTGCCACAGCATAGTGGCCAACTAGGTAAAATTAACTCCTGATAGGGAGGTGCCCAAAGGCTAATTTTTGCAGTTTGGCCTAACTGGAGACGGATGGTGGTGATAGTTATACAGAAATGTGAACATACTTAATGTCACAGAACTGAACACTTAAAAATGGTTAAAATGGTAAATTTATGTTATGTGTATTTTACTACAATAAAAACAAATGTGTATGGCCCAAGTATTACTTTCGGCTCTCTCCCTGATGATCTTCTGTAGGGAAATTCATTTTAGCTGTAATTTAGGAACTATTGTTCAAATGAGCCTACTTAGCTTGAAGGGTGACTACATTTTGAAACACATGTTGTCTATCTTCTGGGGCGAGCTCTCAGGGCCTGCCATTGTCAGTGCATTCTCTAATAAATCAGTTTTAAAGATGAATCCAGTGATGTTTTAAGGTCCTAATGTTGAATTGCAATCACTTCTCATGCACAAAAACCCACATTTCTGGATTCTCATTGGGTAATTGAAAAAGAAAATACCCTGGAGGACTTGGCCTAAAACAGCCTATCTTTTGCTTTGAACTTTTCATTTGTGAGATGATGAACTTGGTTGAAAATATAGGCCATTCCCTCATTCTAGTTACACAGGCCTTTATCTGGTGTCTGAGCCTTCTTTTGATGGCTATAATACTATACTGGCAAGGAAGGATACCTTTGTTCTTAAAATCAAATACTATACCAATGGGGGGAAAAAAGGCCTCCTAATAAAAAGCATAAGAAGGATCTGGGGAAAATCATTTAGAAAAGCAAATGTAGACAACTTTCAATTGCCCAGCTCAAGTGAAACTCCACATCATAGATGTGGTCCCCCTATTATAAGCAAGTTGGATTCCAAAAGCTTGTCAGTGGGCTGTGTATAAGGTGGCATGTATTTTCCTATAGCACCATCTCTATATGTAAGACTGTATTTTGTGCTCCAGCATGGTACCTGGAAAATCAAGAAGAGATGTCTTTGCTGGACTCAGCCATGGGAGTCCTGTCCAACTTCCACAGTCTAGCTGTATATTGCTGTTGCCATCCCCATGGGAGGAATGTTGCAAGTTGTTCTTTCCTACCTCAGGGATGACCAACATTCAAGGTTGGAAATAGTCCAGAAATCACAATGTGATTTTATAAGACACTTTGCAGAACTATCTTAGATAATAAAGATTTCTGATGGCTTTCTAAAGAAGAATTAAAGTGTGTTGTGACTGTCTAGCTTCTTCTATTTCTTCTCACTCTTCAGCTTCTTCTTTTGTTTCCTTTATCATTCTCTTGCATGCCAGAGGGGGTTTATATGATTTCTCAAACTCCTAGCCAACAGAAATAAACATATTGAAACATAGTAGGTAACTATTGAGACCTGGATGTGAGTTTCTAACCTTCCTCTTGCTGTGAACTCTTGAACAAATTACCTGACATCTCTGAGCTACGGTGTCCTTATATAAAAAATGGAATAATAACTCATAAAGGGTTACTGTGATAATTAAATGAGATAATACATATGAAGTGCTTAGCCTAGTGCCTAGACATAGTTGGAATTCCATAAGTGTTAGCCACTATTATTGTTACATGCTTCCTACGCTCTTTATTGTTATTTTTCTGGCTATAGTTAATGCACTCATCTGCATTTGCATAAATGATATTGAAAAATGTGTGTCCCAAGCATTCCATGCATTTGCACAGCAAGTTATAGTTTATAAAGCAATTTCTTGTTTGATCCTTACAACAACTCTGTGGAATCCAAAGAGCTGGAGATATTTCTTCTTTTCACACGTGTGGGAAAGGGGTAGTGGCTTGGTCTGGATTGGCTTTGGCAGACCAAAGAGTCAAACCAGAGTCAAGACTCTTTAGGTCAGTGCTTTCTGTTATGTAGGAGAAAGGATCTTAGAATTACTGATTCCATACTATTGCCAACCTAACGACTAGGGAGAAAAGACTGGCGTGTCTCTTGCTTTAATCATTTGCTTTTTAGAAAACATATCCAAGAAGCCATGCTTTATGAAGAGAGTTAGAATGTTTATTTTCTTCCATGTACGAAAATTTTTCGGCTCATGTGCAGCAATGTGGTAACTTGAAAGCTCTTTCCAGGGATTTCATGCTTCTGACAGTTTCAGGTCAGGTTCACATGGGGGTGGAATTTGACAAACTCTAGTCATTCCCAAGGGAATAATGGGGTTGACGAGATGGTGGACATCCTGAGGAATTCTTAAGCAAAATGAACTTAACAGGTTGTTTCAATATTTTTGTCGCTTTTAAGTGACTCTGACTTTCCACATCCCAATTTCTAGATGAGTTTTAAAAGAAAAACAAAAAAACTTTCAAACTTCTGGCACAACAATAGTAGTTTTGGCGATTTTCTCTGGATTTGCACATCTCCTTTGCATATCGATTCTTACATATCTATAGTAGAATTTCCTTTTTGACATAATCACAGCATAAGCTGAACCCTTGTTATGACTTCTTGGCTCCACATGTGACACTAGTTTTTAAAAGAGCAAGAAGCGGGGCACCTGGGTGGCTCAGTCGTTAAGCATCTGCCTTCGGCTCGGGTCACGATCCCAGGGTCCTGGGATCGAGCCCCGCATCGGGCTCCCTGCTCAGCAGGGGGCCTGCTTCTCCCTCTCCCTCTCCCCCTGCCTGTGTTCCCTCTCTCGCTGTGTCTCTCTCTGTAAATAAATAAAATCTTAAAAAAAAAATAAAAGCAAGAAGCAAGTGTTCTCCCTATTTGTGATAATAGGCCCCAATTTTGGGGCCTTAAGGGTCTTGAAAATCATCCAATTGGGAGGTAAAGTATCATCATACTTAAGGCCTTGGGCCCTGGAATCCAAGCTCTCCCATTTATTAACTACAAATTGAGGGAAATGATTTCCTTCTAAGGCTTTAATTCCCCCCTCAATGAGATGGTGACCTGATAGAACCTGCCTAACAGGGCTGGTGTGAGGATTAAGTGAGAAGGCATAGTGATGGTGCTCAGTGGTGGTTAGACGCCATCATCCAGACACCTATCCTCCACATCATCTCAGTAATCTAGATACTGGGTCAGATGCAGCTATTTGTACAGATTCCATGTTTGTAGGTGAGAACAAACCACTCATAATTATGAGCAGAATAATGTCCAATAAACTTGAATCATGCAGTTACAGAGTCTTTCTACAAAACCACATCTATAGGGTTAAACCAAAGGGCAGTTTGAAACTTTGGCCTCTGAGTGTGAATGCATTGTCAAGCATTTCACAGTAAAATACAATAGCATTCCAGATCTCAGTATGATGTCAGACACAATGGATTACTCATTTCAGTGGGAGTTCATTCTCTCTGAAAACCCAAAAACATTCATCTAGATATTTCAAGACATACTGATGAAGACATTGCCAGCTAACTCCACCAGGGACCCTTGGTTCTATTTCTTTCTCCCTTAGCTGTATATTTTACTGAACTTAAACAACGAATTATTTTTGTTCTATTTTATCTCTTTATCTCTTTAGGTTGCAGCGTTTTTACATTTGGACAGGAGTACGCAGGATGGAAAACAGCACATGTGTTCACTGTTTGTAAATGAAAGATTCATTCATTCAACAAATATTTGCTCAATAGTTATTGTTCCAAGACACTGGGTTCAGTACATGATCCCTGAATTCAAGGACTTGAGATTCTAAAAGGGAGACAGAGTAAAAACAAGCAAACATACCAAAAGATACTATAGTAGCAAGTATCTGTTGACCACAGAGCCCAATTTACTTTAGACTTAAGCTGAGACATAAAGCGGAGGAATCAGCCATGGAAATCATTTTGGAAAGTACATTCTGGAGTGATAAAGCACCTCTGATCCATACCTCAATACTTTATGTCTATGGTTAGGTTTCTTGCTGATAAAAATTACAACATAAATAGATTGTGGAGTTTGGAAATGATTGGATAATAGGGAATAAAACATAATTGAGTACGTACTAAGTAAAAAGCTGATACCGGAGTTTATAGCAATACCATAATTATTTAAATTGTCACTAGAATAGATTTTGTGGGCTAGCATTTAAACACACAGAGAGTCTTGAATGACACAGCAGTCGCCCATATGTATGTAAAAAAGACTTCTGCTACATCTCAGAATTCTGCTGTTTAGGAAATCACTTCATTTTGTTTCCCTCCTGGTTTAGGATATCACTGAAATACCTTGGTGTAATTACTTCCATACTTTGTCATTAGTATTTTGTATTTTTTTATTTCATGCACTAACCCTCCAAATTGTGGCTGCGCTGAAATGAAGCTTCCTCTGAAATTTTGATTCTTATTCTGAGGTACCGGGAGGGGGGGCGCCCAATGTAATCTATAGCACTGTATAAGGTTTGAGTCTAGAATTATAAAGTCCTCCGTGAGCATGTGCAGGCTACTCTGTAATTCAGAGCGGAACAATCAGCATTCAGAACCACGCGAAGCTAGGACTCTCTTCCTTGCTCCCTCCCACCCCCCCATAAAGTGATCCCCACCCATGAGTCCTAGACCATTCAACCCTTGCGTTTGGTATTCGTTCTGCTCCTGAACTCTCATGGGCCATCCGTGGATTGAAAATCAAATTAATACACAAGGAGAGATTATCATTGCGGAGGATTTGTGGGAGCCCAGACACTTTTTATGAGAAGAGACTGTCACCCCCAAGGATGTTATTTGAATCTGAAAAGAGGTGGTTATAAAGGAAGTGGCTCTGCTTTAATCTGCTGTGGGGAGTGCAACCCGGCTCTACTGCTAGGCGGCCTTCCCGTAAGAGCAGAATGAGCACTCGCTGGAGAAAGCAGCTGAGGTTGGGAAAACAGTTGCAGTTTTGCAGTTTCAGGAATGTGTGGGAGCTGCAGCTTTAAGATGGCATCCCCCCCCC